TGAACAAAAGAAAGAAGTCTCTAGATCATATTTATGTAATCAGAACTTGTAAATGTAGTTTAGTCTAGTTTTGCAAATATTGGACGTCCTCATAGATATTTAGGGATAAATAGAATTCCTCTGTTGTTGTTTCCGCTGTTGTTTTATGTTCTGATTTTTTTCCCGATTAATGTTAATGAACGGTCAACTCCACTGGCTTTTGGGCAGAAGGCCCGTAATGGCAAGATTATTCACAAAACTTATACATTCAGCAAACTAAACTATCCGAGGAACTTCTGGTCTACAGTTCAATGAGGCCTCGAGCATCACAACAAAAACACAACGATGTTCGCATCGCTGTTTTACTATAGCAAGACTACAGTGATGCCAAAATGTAACTGATGATATGGACAAGTGCAGCAAAAGACATGTATTTCATGCAGTTTATTAAATGAAAACAAAGAAGCAGACTTAAGCATTCTTCAGTGCTGAATGTACATTTATCACTGAACAAGCTCGTGCCAGATTTTACCGTGTTATTGTAATAAAGGACCTCACCACCGCTTGACCGTGGAAGGTCTGGATACGAGACTAGGTCAGTCTTTGAGCTTTGTAGCCTTTCTCACAAGTAGCCACCTTAAAATATTGCCCGACTTAAGTTTTCGCACCGATTTTCGTCTACTACAATGATCGTTTTTTGGCCCTAATTTTGTAAAGGGCTGGAAAATGGGTAAGACCAGTATGCCCCTCGAGGTCAGGAACAGTGCCGTCCTCAGATGGTAGAAATGTAAATTTGTGCAACATCCACGACAAGAACAGAAACAGCTCCACCTATGAGAAGAGAAAGATTTCTGTTGACTGTCTATCTGTAGCCTGTGCCAGGCCTTCTGTTGGTAAAACGAAGCGCGATAGTGGAGGAGGAGTGAAAAACGAGGGAGACTTGGGTCGGGCCGCGTAATTACCCGACCCAAGCCTCGCTCGCTTTTTCACTCCTCCGCCATTGTTGCGGAATTTGATGTTTCGCCACTAGTTACTAACTGAACGCCTGGAACTTGCTAGTTTGTTCGGGTTTCCCTAAGTAACAGATCTAGAGGCTTAAGCATGGCTGATTAACACTTCCTCTTGTCTAACATGTCGTCCAATATATATTATGGACAGTAACAAAACTCACTCTATAAATCCATAACTGGACAAAACAGTTTGTTAATTGTATCAAGAACTCGCATATGAGATGTAAGTGAGATTTTGAAACACAAAAAAGAGGGAGCATATGGATATTTTGCATGAAAAAGATTGTAACTTTTGACAGATTTCAGAATCACGTAGAGAAATTAAAGTTGGCATATTTCTCTCACCTTTGCCAGTGCTTCACCAGCACAAACCCGGCGACCAGCTGAGAAGGGTAGAAAGTTACCAGTGTTGGTAATCAGTTGGCCATCTGCGTCAATATGACGGTGAGGGTTAAAAGAGTGCGGATTCTCCCAGCAGCTTGGATCAAGATGAACTTGCGCTAAATTAGCAAATACGATAGTATCTTTGGGAACCCTGAAGCCAGCTAGTGTAGTGTCCTTCAGCGTGTAGTGAGGAAGAGTGTTTTCCGCAACATTACCAAGACGTTGCGTTTCCATGATCATGGCCTGGACAAGGGGAAGATTTGGTAGATCATCTAGGTTTGGCATCCGATCCTTTCCAACCACTTCATCCAGCTGGTTTTGTAGTTCTTTTTGAATTTCAGGATGATGGACAAGGAATGCAATGGCCCAGCGCAGGGTAGAACTAGTGGTGTCGTAACCAGCGACAAACATGTCTCTCATGTTACTCAGCATATATTCGTCTGATAGGAAAGATGCTCTTTCTTCTGCACCAACCTCATTTTCAGCGGCAGCCTTTTCTTGGAGAAAACTGCCGGTGAGGCTGTCAACTTCTGCCGAGTTGGAAGACTCTTTCTCCTGAATCTTTAACTGGCGTCGTAGAATTTCGTAAACCTGATCAATCATCTCGTACATGAGTCGGTAAGCACGAAACGGAAAGAATTTTGCTATAGGAAAGAAATCTAAAAGAAATCTTTGTGTATTAATGTCATAATCAGAGAAGAAATCGTCGTTCAGTTTGAGAAGTTCCTTGAAATCAGAATGCGATGAGTCGAAGCGTTTTCCAAATAAGATATGGCAACTGACGTTGGCAATGCTCTCCATCAAGACGTTCGCAGGGTCAAAATCCTTTAAACTTTGGTCTTCAAAGTACTGCATTAGTTTCGTTGCCTGCTCAGCAATTGTTTTTTCCACCACCTGCTTATCAGATAGGTACCGTCTAATGGCTGCTATGAAGATCTTTCGATGAAATTTCCAGGCCGGACTGTAATCTCCTGCTGCGATGTCTTTCCCGTCTTGAAAGCAGAATTGAAGATAAATATGAAAAATTGGTCTTGATCACGGGGAAACCCGAGGGATTCTTAACATCTAAATCTTGATGGCGGGTTTGATTGTCTGTCGCAAGGTTAAACCAGTAATGTAGGGGTCCTGATAGAATTTACCGTTAACCCTTTAACTCCCATGAGTGACCAAGATGGAATTTCTCCTCACAATATCAATACAGTATCAACCAGATGAGTGATAAGAATAAAGAAAAATATCAATTTTGGGATAATTAGTTGATCCAATATTAAATTCTCTGAACTAACATTAGAAGAATTGTACGGTTGAAAGTAAGGAGAATTACTAATTTGATCTGGGAGTCAAAGGGTTAATAATGCTAAGAGGACTTTGTATCGCCCAATTCGGTCTGCAATCATATGAGTAATTAACAAAATCGGACGACCACGAAGCGGGAGTCCGATTTGTCAATCACGAGTATATATGATTACAGTCGGAATTTGACGACACGAAGTCCCGTTACCAATTAATCATAACCGTTACAATTTCTAAAAACAACAAATACATTTAGGACAAATGTCTTTGGTGGAGACAATATCTTAAGTGAAAAGTTCCTCAATTTTGGAAATTCCACAGTTTTATATAGGACAAGTGGTTGTTGCTGTGGTTATTGTGACCAATTCTGTGGTTGGTGGATTTGGCTGAAAGGACTAAGTATTATTGGCTGCATCAACTGTCTGATAACAGGTGTCCGATTGCAGCTGTACAGAATGATTAGTGAAAAATAAAGCTGTTAATGTACCAATCACATTTGAGGAAATTGTAATGGTTATGATTAAAGTTTGAAATGGGTCAAAAAGGAACTGTTACGCCTTCAAAGAAGAACTAAATTAATCGATTATTCGTATTTTATGTATAAAGCTGCTACTTGTTCATCCGTCGGTTGTCACTTTTCTTCCACGTCCATAAATACTGTTACATAGATAGCCATAATAGGCAACCCTCTCCCCAGATTTTCACCGAGAATAATTTTTTGCTTTACCCTTTCCAGTGTCTGATTCATAATCATTGATTTCTCTAATTGGTTCCAAATAACCCCAATTTCCAGAATTCCTTGCGCCGCAACTCCAGAACTGTCTAGTTTCAATGTTTAGTTTATACATAGTTTACAAATCACATATTGTAACTAAGAGCTCAACATACCGAAAGTAGAACGCATGAAGCTATGAAGAGGAGGTCTCCCGGCATAATCAGCAGACTTTCGTACAAGCAACTCTTTGACCGAAGCTGTATCCCCGGCAATTACAACTTTGAAGCTTCCAATTTTCACTGAGAACACTCTCCCGTACTTCTTCCTCAAGCTATGAGAAAACAGAACCAGAAACTGTGTCAAAGACACTTGCGCCGGTAGTCAGCACTTTGTCACGATACAGTCGACTTGGAGTCACTGCGCGGACGGACTAAACTGTACCAAGTCTACTGCGATGTTCTGCCACAAATGTGGGGAAGAATTTGTGAGCAATGAGCTATTCTGCCGTCGATGTGGAACTTAAAAGAGACCCGAACAGAAAAATGTGTTACACAGTGCGTCAGATGAGGCATCTGCCATTGAACATTACTTTGGAAGAGGATTTCGTTATGATACTATTGCTCAGTTTTCAGAAAAAGAAGTGATGAAGGGCCTTCGATCTCACGTTTAATTATCTCCCAAACTTCGTGCTCTGAATGGACTTCATTTCTCCTTCTCAACCCAAACTCACGCAACCTTCTCCTTGGAGTCCTCAAGTTCACAGAAATACCATGGTATTTTTTCTGAAAACTGAACAATGCATCGACGGCAGAATAGCTCATTGCTCACAAATTCTTTTCCACATTTGTGGCAGAACATCTCAATACCCTTGTTACAGTTTAGTCCGTTCGCGTAGTGACTCCAAGTCGACCTAATGCGACACGATGTGCTGTATTGTGACAAAGTGCTTACCACTGGTGCAAGTATCACGTGACAAAATATTTTTCTTGATTTGCTGGGATTTTCTGGATTTTGGAAAGATTCTTGCATTGTAAACCATTTTCGATTTTCATGAAAGTTATTTGTGGATCTATGAATTAAACCAGGATTTGAAATTGATTTCTCGATTTGACAAACTTTTCAGAAGCCATTTGTCTAAAATATATCGATTCTAAATATTTTTTCGGATTTGAAAAATATTTTTGGATAGTCCCTTTTGCTTCCGCATTATAACGTTAGCTCGCACTTATAAGACGCCTGAACTGCAGGCTAGTATGATCAAAACCTTGTATTCTTATTCGAGCGAAGAAACGCTCGTGCCGAAGTACTGCTTCAAACTGATATTTGACCAATAATTTCATGCCCCACTGATGGTAAGAGGCCACAAGAATTCAAATTTTTGACATAGACAATACTAGTGACTGTAAATGTATGAAAATCACTGTGAAAAGCGGTTTAAGAAATGAATGTGAAGCGATCTTCGCAGTAATGAACACTACTTAAGCAGTAGTGAAAATACAGGCCTGTACGGGATTTGAACCCATGACCTCTGCGATAGCGGTGCATGCAGTGCTCTACCAACTGAACCAAACATTATGTCGGTTTGCAATAAACCCGTGAAGTGATGAATAAATGACTGTTAATAATTATATTAAAATCATATATGTGAACTACGATTTAAGAAATGAATATTTCGGGCCTTATTTTCCATACTGCTTTAGTAGAGTTATTACTGCGAAGATCGCTTCCAAATTTAAAGACGTCACAGTTTAAAACATAAAACGATTTTGCTGAGCGTGCGAAATCTTTTTCGCCTAAGTTGGATAGATAGATAACTTAGGTTTATAAACATGTCTAAGATATGACAGTAATTGTAATGTTATTGAAAATTTTGCATGGTCATGTTAAAAAACAAAACCCTTGAACAAAAGATCTGATTGACAATGAATTTTGCATAATTAGCTTTCAGCTATTATTTGTAAGATTTCAATCGCTAATAGATATTTATTTTTTTCTTATTTCCTTTGCTTTTTATTATTCGGTTTGCCCAAAGTGTGGCGGATATTAACTTATTTTTACATCAAACATCCTTTCGAGAATTTTTTTAAGTGCGGGCTTTACTTTAACAACCATTTCGCGACTCGTTCCACATACACACAGATGCGGAATGTTTGTAATTCCATGACCCCTTTACATACTTTTGGAACGGCTTTTTGACCTGATCTCGGAGCAACTGTAGAATACGAGGCCCTTAGCTCCTACTGCTAGGATTCTTTAGAAACGACGAGTCACAAATAAAAGAAGCAAAAGAACTAGGTAAACGCAATGAGATAAATAAGATACGAAAACTGCCACGGTAAAGTGATGTTCACTTAGTAAACAGACCTTGCTGTAATCTTCATGAAACCATCTCCTGAATCAAAGCTCAGCAAATTGCCGATGAAAGGCAAGCTTGTCAAACGAGGTCCCGGCGGCATTTTCCTAAACTGATACAGCACAATCAGTTGATTTAAAATGAGCAAGAAAAAGATGACTAGGAAAATATTCCCGATCGTCAAGTATTCATCGAATGAAGCCATGTTGCAAAAGTGCTGAAATGTGACGTAATCGTCGAAAAAGGACAAGGCCTGGAACTAGTAATACATCCCGCGTAATACAAATATGGCGCTAACTAAACTTCGTCTCGGCAATAAATTGCTTGAGATTTTAACGCTTTGTGAATCGTTTTAAACGAGCACCTAAAGTGCAAGTTAGCTTGGATTCAATTTTACGTTTGATACCGTCCTACCTGCTTGCGAAAATTGCGTGGATGCAAGGAAACTTTGGGATGACGGCGAATTTTGAATGACCAGTAGTCATTGAGGAACTACAAGCAGTACGTTCCAAGATGTCTTGGGATGAGTTTTCGGTAGGTGATTGAAGCGATGCTATTCTTTGTTTCCTTGAGCAAATTTAAAGGCTGATTTTTCTATCATATGTTTGATTGTATAGTAGTTGGTCAGATTTTACAGATCGGGAGCTTCTGCTATACATGTACAAGTAAAATTATGGATGTATCGCTAATATACTGCATGTAGTTACTCCGACACTCTTTCTTCGCTAGTAAGATGTGAATAATACGATAAAAATCTTGTCAAGAAACCCCTATGAAAGCGGATACGTACTCATGGAGATCATTTGATGAGTGTCAATAATGAGTGAGTTGTCAGGGGGTTGAGAGAAGTTTTTAAACACCACGTAAAAAGTTACATGGGATTTTAAAAAAATCTCTCCAATATAAGAGCTTAATTATTTTGTATTTGAATGGCTTCCATGACTATCTAGAATGTAAAGGGTTTAGCTAAACTGCACAATTGCCAAATTGAAATAGCTTTATTCATTTTGTTTGTTATTATTATTTTTTTTTTTATTTATAGCATAATTCTTTTGTGATTTGCTGGCCTGGCTTTTGTTCTCCTAATAGTAATTGTTGTATAGGACATATACATGTAAATCTCTCTGCTATTACTAGCTGCTATTATATTCAAATGTTTTATCAGCACCTGAACGAGGGAAGGTGAGCAAGTGATGAGGTATTGCTGCCTCCAGAAAGCCTATGAAAAAAAAAAATTAATAAATAAATAAATAAATAGAGTAACACTCTCCCTGCCAAGATCTCATTAGTAATTGTCCTTGCTGTTTGCCATACAATTTTTATGATGTTAATTTTGGAGAATTTGTATTAGTTCAACTAATAATTCCCTGATTAGTATTTTTCTTAATGTAGTCATTTGTCTGCTTGCTATTGTCTTGATATTGTAGCAGAAATGCCATTGTGATTACTCATAGGAATTAAAGTTTTTCTAAATTCATATCACAGTGTAGTTGTCCCCAACTTTGACAGATGTTCCGTTCTGTTCATATACTGTAGGTCCTTTACACTCATCAGAAGACAAAAAAAGCCAAGACTTGGCAGGTAAAAAATTGTACAAACCATGATGCTGTTAAAAAGAATATATAGATATCCAAAGCAGCTTCAGTTCAGATGGTTTTTATTTTTAAATAAAATGAGTTGTCCTTTTCCACTGACTTTTATAAGGCTCCATTTTGTTGTCTTTTTATTTTTCTTTTTTATTCTGTTCTGTACTAGGATGGCTCTTTGAAGATTATAGGAACTAAGGTATGCTATAAACTTTTGGTCTTATTTCTACTTTTTGCATGCTTTAAATTTTTCATTATTTATTGTCCATCATCCTTCAACTGTACATTTTTTGCTCAAAAATAGAAGAAATTTGATTGCTTACCTATTTTGATTGTAAAGTGGGACAGAAGTGCAGAAACCAGAGAAAAAAGGGCATGAGTAAGGGGTCGGAATGGAAATGATTGTAGGCAAGAGAGAGAGACATTCATCTCCGCTTTTACAGCTTTAAAACCCATCCTATTATTAATTAATTGTTACTACTTTGTTGTTATCATTGTATTTCATTTTCCTTTTATTATTATTTATTTGTTAGATACACTTATCATTAACTTTAAGGGTTGTACATATCTAACAGCATAGATACTCTCTGCTGTTTAGCTAAATATTGCGTCAAAGAGGACTCTCTTGTAAGTCCCACTTTATCAATCACCATATGGTTTTTTTTTTCATTTTCTTTTAACTATTTATCATAGTGTCTTTTATTTGATATCCAGGCAATACTTTATGACGAGGAGTCCAAAACTCTGGATTCTCTTTTTGTACAAGTAGCACAGGTCAGTTTTGGTATCTTGATGAGGATTGTGTCTTGTATTTGCATTCCACTCAGTCTTTCAGAAGGCTGACCAAAGTGTGACACATTAGCAAACTCTAACTGGTAATGACTGAGTTGTTTTGAATGGTTAAGTTCTTGTTCTAATGAAAAAAATACATACTGTACTCATGTTCACTTAAGCACAATCCTGTTAACCTTTAACCCCCAGAAGTGATTAACATGTAACTTCTCCCTAAAGTATCCATACATTATACAGTAAACAGGTAGTGAGAATACTCAAACTCATCAGGTACAATTTATTACCTTGATTGAACACCTAATTCTCATAATCAATTTACGAGGGCATGTGTAGTAGTAAGAGAGGAGAATCGACAATCAGATCTTGGGAGTTAAAGGGTTAAGTCCAAGGCCATATTTTCTCACAAAAAGACTGAATAATGTTTACTTGAAATGAAAGTAGGGCATGGATATTGTAAATTTTTTGTGTCTGCCATTACTCAATGTAAAAACAGGTGAATCCTGGAGCAGAGTTGGAAAGTGACCGATACCTGATAACTGTAGAAGAAAAACTGCAGCATTCAGTTGACAGCAGCCAGGAAGCTGCTAAAAAATTTCAGGAAGAGAGACAAGAGTCGAACAGTGTTGTCCACCACCCAGGCAAGAGAAAAAGACAGGTATTGAACATGATCCATCTAAACAGTCTGCTTTTATTATCTTTATGAATGTGACCATGATAGGAAGAAAAGCATTACATTTTTGTTTCACACATTAGAGTAAGTTGCATTCCTAGAAGATATGGTAACCTGGTTCTGGTTGCTTGAAGGGCAAATTGTGTTATCCTCATGATAAATCTCTCTCTGGTGGATAGTGCTGCATTTATTGCTACACTTACCTGCTGGAAAATCATTTACCTGTAGTAAGGCATTATCTGCCCCTTTGAATGACTGGGCGTTGGTAGTAAGTACATGGCTCTTGGGACCAAGCATTGACTCGGCTTGAGTCCTGGCTAGTTCAATGTGTTGTGTTCTTAGGCAAGAGGCTAGACTCAGTTACCAGTAAAGTGTCAGGGAAACCTGGTAAAATGCTGAGGGTAAACCTGGATTGGACAGGCCTATCACCCAGTGGGCAGCAGCATTTAATACCACTAGTTGCATCCTAGTCCTTTAAGCTTTGGTCTAGGGAGAAGGTGTGGACAAATGGATACTTTTATTTTAGTGAACGTTCTCTACTCTGTGAATGGGCATTTGTCATCACATGTTTGACGTTTTTGTTCACTCCAGAGTTTCCAGCCACCATTTGGTAATCAAACGAATCACACTCGTCCCACGGAGCCAGACATGAAAAAGGTAAAGAAATACTATTGTACAGTAACTTATTTCCCTAACACACCAGAAAAACAGGTTTAGTTAATCCAGGTTTAAGTGAACGAAAATCAAAAACAGAGAACTGAATTAAAAGTAAAAGTAATGTCGCGATTTTATACAAAATTCGACATTTCTTTACAAGAGGGCTTTTATTAGTGAATACATGAATTATTTAATTTTAAATGTAGCTTTTTTTTTTCTAAACAGCAGCTAAAATTTGTTACATAACGGCCCACAATATGTGATAACGGTCAAAATTTTTTTGACCGCAGTTTTTTGTTTGCTCGTCTTTCACTTATCTCCCATTTGAAATTTTCTTTGCTCATGAAGGCAATTTCTTGCTTATTCAGATACTGCATTTTAACTGTTTCTCTTAGAAATAACCATGCATTTCTCTTTCAGCCAAGAGAAGAAAATCCAATCCCGCGTCATAATAGGTTCGCCATGAACAGACCTCCGAGTAAAATGGAATTTTTCAACATGTACAGTTCTAATTCAGACAAACGAGAACAACATCTACAAGCCATCCAAAGAGCAGAACGTCAGCATGGGATGCGAACGGTTCTTCAGGCGTCAAACAAAGAACAAAGGTCTTTCATAGGGACAGAAGAACAACACGATCAAAGAGTTCCTACCAATATGGCAGCTCGGAGACAACGGACTGGAAAAGAGAATTCATGCATCTTCAGAGGAACCACAAGTGGTAACCTTCACTTACAAACTCAAAATGAGCGCGTTCGGGACAGTAAACGAAATGCTACCCAGATTCTCGCCCTCTTTTCATGCTGTAAGGATATCCCTCCACCAAAAATGCCGTTCCGTAAAGTAAACGCACAGACGAATGATGTAAATATTGTGAGGGGTATTACACTTAGCGAGCGGAATGATGGTAAAGGTGATGCGATACGTGATATGGAGGATTTAGAAAACTATTCCCAGGCAAAAAGAATTTCTACCTTTTCAGATGTGCCGCAGACAAAATTAGACAATGATTCTTCCGAAGGAGAATTGGGATGGAACCAAGATTTTAGTTACTCGTTTGATTTGTCGCCAGATTCTTTCGCGGCTTGTTCGGATGAGAGGAAAGCGGGAGCTGCTGTCAGTGATCTCTTTGATTTTAATGGAGGAGTTACAAGCTGCGAAAC